AGCAGGAATTACGTGCTGCTGAAGGTTGGGTTCAAAAAACAAAAATATACAGTTCAAAGGAGTTGGAAGTAGCCACTGATCGTTTTAATGTGAATAGAATACTCGGTCAAGGTGGTCAAGGCACAGTTTATAAAGGGATGTTAGCAGATGGAAGGATTGTTGCTGTTAAGAAGTCCGTGGTCGTTGATGAAGGAAAGCTTGAAGAATTTATCAATGAGGTCGTCGTTCTTTCTCAAATTAACCATAGGAATGTGGTTAAGTTGCTCGGTTGTTGCTTGGAGACTGAAGTTCCGTTGCTAGTCTATGAGTTCATTCCCAATGGAAATCTTTACAAGTATATCCATGATCAAAACGAAGATTTATTGTTATCTTGGGAAATGCGATTACGGATTGCCATTGAAGTTGCTGGAGCACTTTCCTATCTACACTCGGCGACATCCATTTCGATTTATCACCGTGATATCAAGTCTACAAACATACTCCTAGATGAGAAATACAGAGCAAAAGTATCTGATTTTGGATCTTCAAGATCTATATCCATCGATCAAACTCACTTGACCACTCTTGTGCAAGGTACTTTTGGCTACTTGGATCCCGAGTACTTCCAGTCCAGTCAATTTACAGAAAAGAGTGATGTTTATAGCTTTGGAGTGGTTCTGGTTGAGCTCATAAGTGGACAAAAACCGATATTTTCCGTAAGTCAGACAGAGACTAGAAGTTTAGCCACGCATTTTATTATGTTGATGGAAGACAATAGACTGTCTGATGTTCTTGATGCTAGAGTTAAGGAGGGCTGTCAGAATGAAGAAGTTATCTCGGTTGCTAATCTTGCGAAAAGATGCTTGAATTTGAATGGGAAAAATCGACCTACAATGCGAGAAGTCACATCAGAGTTGGAGAGGATAATTGGATTGTCTCCAAAAAAGCTAAATATTCAAGAGAACTTTAAAATACCAGAAAACACCATGGATGATGCAAGCAATGATTGGGATGCAGTTTCGACATCAATCACCGGTGATTTTGCTACTGGCAGGACTACATCATCCGATGGTGAATCGTTGATAAATATCACAACATGCTGATTCAACAACACATATCAATCGCTGAAAACATATATGCGTCTTTGTTTTTCTTTGCCCTTGCTCCTATTTTGACGTGAATTACACAAAAAAATGTTGGGAAAACTCGGAACAACCGGACACCAATTTGTTGTGTATGGTCCCACACCATGTGATGAAGTTATGTCACATGAGAAGAAAAGTGAGTGGTTAAAAGCAATGCAAGAAGAGATGAAATCCTTGCATGAAAACCATACCTTTGAGTTAGTGAAGCTTCCTAAAGGTAAGAGAGCACTCAAGAACAAATGGGTGTTCAGGTTGAAAATTGATGAACATTGCTCACAGCCAAGGTACAAGGCAAGATTGGTTGTGAAAGGCTTCGGACAGAAGAAAGGTATTGATTTTGAAGAAATCTTTTCACCAGTGGTCAAGATGTCTTCAATCCGAGTTGTGCTTGGCTTAGCTGCTAGTTTGAATCTTGAAGTAGAACAACTTGATGTGAAAACTGCCTTTCTCCATGGTGATTTGGATGAGGAGATCTACATGGAGCAGCCTGAAGGTTTTGAAGCAAAAGGTAAAGAGCAGCTAGTTTGTAAGTTGAAAAAGAGCTTATATGGGTTAAAGCAAGCTCCAAGACAATGGTATAAGAAGTTTGATTCTTTTATGGTGGATCATGGTTATGACAGGACCACTTCTATAGTTATGACAGAACCACTTCTGATCATTGTGTATTTATGAAAAGATTTCCAGATGGAAACTTTATTATTCTCTTGTTGTATGTGGATGATATGTTGATTGTTGGCCATGATGCTAAGAAGATTCAGATGTTGAAGGAAGAGTTGAGCAAGTCTTTTGCAATGAAAGACTTGGGACCAGCAAAACAGATTCTTGGTATGAAGATCACACGTGACAGGAAGAAGGGAAAACTTTGGCTATCTCAGGAGAGATATGTTCAAAAGGTACTTGAGCGATTCAACATGAGCAACTCCAAACCTGTTTGTTCTCTACTTGCAAGCCACTTTAAACTAAGTTCTAAGTAGTGTCCTTCAAGTGATGAAGAAAAAGATGAGATGAAAAAGGTTCCTTATGCATCCGCAGTTGGTAGCTTGATGTATGCCATGGTTTGCACAAGGCCGGATATAGCTCATGGTTGGTAGCCTGATGTATACCATGGTTTGCACAAGGCTGGATATAGCTCATGCAGTTGGTGTGGTTAGTCGGTTCCTCTCCAATCCTGGTAAAGAACACTAGTCAGCAGTGAAATGGATACTCAGGTATCTCAAAGGTACTTCTAGTTTCAGTTTATGTTTTGGTAATGATAAACCTGTGTTGGATGGATACACAGATGCAAATATGGCTGGTGATGTTGATTCTAGAAAGTCCACATCAGGATACTTGATGAAGTTTGCAGGGGGAGCAGTCTCATGGCAATCAAGGTTGCAAAAATGTGTTGCATTATCCACTACAGAGGCTGAATATATTGCTCTTACTGAAGGGGGCAAAGAGTTGTTTTGGATGAAGAAGTTCTTGCATGAACTTGGTCTAGTTCAAGAGAACTTTGTGTTGCACTGTGACAGTCAAAGTGCAATCCATCTCAGTAAGCATCCTACTTTTCACTCTCGATCAAAGCACATTGAGGTTAGATATCAATGGATTCGAGATGCTATGGAGATGAAGTCATTCGTTGTTGAGAAGACCCATACTGATGACAACGTGTCTGACATGATGACCAAACCTCTACCGAGAGACAAGTTTGAGTTTTGCAGAAAGGAAGCAGGCTTGTTAGAGCCTCCTAAATTGAATTTTACATATTGATCGCCGGTATGACGAATTCCTCACATGGTGTGGGAGGGGGAGATTTGTTGTGTATGGTCCCACACCATGTGATGGTGGGACCATCACATTAAATGTCATGTGATGGTTGTCTCTTGGTGTTAATATTAGTGTGGTTCGGGTACTGTAGCAACAGATTTGAAATTAGAAGAGAGGAGAAGAAAATCAAGAGAGAAAAAGAGACGAAAAGGCAGCAGAGCAGCCTGCATTCTTTCTTTGATTTCCAGCTCGTTCACCGTTGGATCGGACTGAGATTTTGACAGCAGCTTCTAGACACATTGATCTTCATTCTGAACGGTTGGATCGAAGATTGGTGGTGTGGAAGCTGGCCATTTTGACAGAAAACAGGGCTGTCAGTTTTGTGAGTTTTTCTCAAATAATTCTCCTTTAATCTTGTTGTAATCCGAGAATAAGTTGTTCTTGATGATATATATGCTGTATCCCTTAGTTGAATCTGAGGAAGAATGATTGTGAACCCATTATTTGTTGATAGTGGAAGTTTTTAGGTGGACTACGGTCCCGTGGTTTTTCCCGCATCGGGTTTTCCACGTTAAAAATCTTGGTGTTGATTTTATGATTATTTGCATTATTTTTCATTTTCCACGTTAAAAATCTTGGTGTTGATTTTGTGATTATTTGCATTATTTTTCATCATTGTTTGATTCTGTTTTACTGCACAAAAAGGGAAAGAATTGAGACTTGTGAATTGTAATTGTATTTCGCTGAATTGATCCGAGTAAATTGGTGTCCGGTTGTTCTTAGTTTTCCCAACACAATTTACCCAGATCAATTCAGCGGAATACAATTATAATTCATAAGTCCCAATTCTTTCACTCTTTGTGTAGTAAAACAGAATCAAACAATGATGAAAAATAATGCAAATAATCACAAAATCAACACCAAGATTTTTAACGTGGAAAACCCGATGCGGGAAAAACCACGGGACCGTAGTCCACCTAAAAACTTCCACTATCAACAAATAATGGGTTCACAATCATTCTTCCTCAGATTCAACTAAGGGATACAACATATATATCATCAAGAACAACTTATTCTCGGATTACAACAAGATTAAAGGAGAATTATTTGAGAAAAACTCATAAAACTGACAGCCCCGTTTTCTGTCAAAACGGCCAGCTTCCACACCACCAATCTTCGATCCAACCGTTCAGAATGAAGATCAACGTGTCTAGAAGCTGCTGTCAAAATCTCAGCCCGATCCAACGGTGAACGGGCTGGAAATCGAAGAAAGAATGCAGGCTGCTCTGCTGCCTTTTCTTCTCTTTTTCTCTCTTGATTTTCTTCTCCTCTCTTCTCTTTTCAAATCTGTTGCTACAGTACCCGAACCACACTAATATTAACACCAAGAGACAGCCATCACATGACATTTAATGTGATGGTCCCACTATCACATGGTGTGGGACCATACACAACAAATCTCCCCCTCACACACCATGTGAGGAATTCGCCATACCGGCGATCAATATGTAAAATTCAATTTAGGAGGCTCTAACAAGCCTGCTTCCTTTCTGCAAAACTCAAACTTCTCTCTCGGTAGAGGTTTGGTCATCATGTCAGACACGTTGTCATCAGTATGGATCTTCTCAACAACAAATGACTTCATCTCCATAGTATCTCGAATCCATTGATATCTAACCTCAATGTGCTTTGATCGAGAGTGAAAAGTAGGATGCTTACTGAGATGGATTGCACTTTGACTATCACAGTGCAATACAAAGTTCTCTAAGATGGATTGCACTTTGACTGTCACAGTGCAACACAAAGTTCTCTTGAACTAAGTCAAGTTCATGCAAGAACTTCTTCATCCATAACAACTCTTTGCCCCCTTCAGTAAGAGCAATATATTCGGCTTCTGTAGTGGATAATGCAACACATTTTTGCAACCTTGATGGCCATGAGACTGCTCCCCCTGCAAACTTCATCAAGTATCCTGATGTGGACTTTCTAGAATCAACATCACCAGCCATATCTGCATCTGTGTATCCATCCAACACAGGTTTATCATTATCAAAACATAAACTGAAACTAGAAGTACCTCTGAGATACCTGAGTATCCATTTCACTGCTGACTAGTGTTCTTTACCAGGATTGGAGAGGAACCGACTAACCACACCAACTGCATGAGCTATATCCAGCCTTGTGCAAACCATGGTATACATCAGGCTACCAACTGCGGATGCATAAGGAACCTTTTTCATCTCATCTTTTTCTTCATCACTTGAAGGACATTGCTTAGAACTTAGTTTAAAGTGGCTTGCAAGTGGAGAACAAACAGGTTTGGAGTTGCTCATGTTAAATCTCTCAAGTACCTTTTGGACATATCTCTCCTAAGATAGCCAAAGTTTCCCCTTCTTCCTATCACGTGTGATCTTCATACCAAGAATCTGTTTTGTTGGTCCCAAGTCTTTCATTGCAAAAGACTTGCTCAACTCTTCCTTCAACATCTGAATCTTCTTAGCATCATGACCAACAATCAACATATCATCCACATACAACAGGAGAATAATAAAGTTTCCATCTGAAAACCTTTTTATAAATACACAATGATCAGAAGTGGTCCTGTCATAACCGTGATCCACCATAAAAGAATCAAACTTCTTATACCATTGTCTTGGAGCTTGCTTTAACCCATATAAGCTCTTTTTCAACTTACAAACTAGCTGCTCTTTGTCTTTTGCTTCAAACCCTTCAGGCTGCTCCATATAGATCTCCTCATCTAAATCACCATGGAGAAAGGCAGTTTTCACATCAAGTTGTTCTACTTCAAGATTCAAACTAGCAACTAAGCCAAGCACAACTCGGATTGAAGACATCTTGATCACTGGTGAAAAGATTTCTTCAAAATCAATACCCTTTTTCTGACCGAAGCCTTTCACAACCAATCTTGCCTTGTACCTTGGCTGTGAGCAATGTTCATCAGTTTTCAACCTGAACACCCATTTGTTCTTGAGTGCTCTCTTACCTTTAGGAAGCTTCACTAACTCAAAGGTATGGTTTTCATGCAAGGATTTCATCTCTTCTTGCATTGCTTTTAACCACTCACTTTTCTTCTCATGTGACATAGCTTCATCAAAGCATTTTGGCTCTCCCCCATCAGTGACCAACACATACTCATGAGGAGAATATCTGGTGGAAGGTTGGCGAGGTCTAGTTGACCTTCTCAATTGTGGCTCATCTGGAGCTTCCTGCATAACCTGTTCAGGAATAACATCTACATCATTATTAGCTACTT